TCTTCAACGCCACAAAATTGCCCGTTTGGAAGCATGCCTAAACGATTGTTTGAAGTCATCAACAAGAATGGTGGAGCTACTCATTACTGAGTCCCTTTTTTTTTGACACTTTGATTTCTGTCTTGGGGGGTTTTCGGTGGGTTTTTGAGATATGGTCTTAAACTTTTGATCAGCTGAAAAAAGTCATGTTTGAGTGTAAATGAAGTTTTCAATTAATTCCCCGCTCAAAAGTTTTTGTCTCTTAAGCTGATTTCTTATTTTAATATTGTGAAGCTCTACTTAGAACCTTCTGAAGATCCAATGGTGGGAAAAGGCAAATTGTTACAATTTTTTAACTGGTCTTAAGATTTTGATCAGGAGTGTATATATGTGTTTATAGAATAATTGTCAAACAAATTGAACTCCATAGCAGAGGTCTCATTTTCTCTGAAATTAATATTATGTTGTGCTATGGACTGAAAAACATATTGGTTTAAACACCAGGGTAAAGAATTGGTAGTGTGGTTTAATATAGTGTTTTGATCATAATTCATTGTTTTACTTTTTTCAGTTCAAAAATGCCGCGTAAAGAAAGACATCAGAAACAAAAACGAAATGATCTGCTTGAAGCAGCCAAAGGTGGTGGATTGTTGACCAACTGTGAATTTAAGAGACTTAAATTCTCAAAAACAAAACATTCTTATTCAATGAATCATTCAAAAATAACATCTAACAGCAAAAACAGTAAAATAACAGACAACTGTTATACCAGTTGACAGTTAAACAAATTCAAAAAACACTTATTTATACTTTGAACCCACCTAGTACGATACAGAATAAAAAACTCTTTAATGTGGCTTTGACTGCAGGCAGGACTGGTCCCTTGTTTTAATTTCTGAAAGGTGGCAACCCTAGTGGGGGGAGGAGGGGATATTTATGGGAAAATATTCATACGGGAGCAGGGTGGGAAAGGGATGTAAGAAACCGTAGTTTCCCTTATGAATCCACCATCTATCATGTGATGGAACTAGACCCAGTTCATGTTCACCATTATGATGGGACAGAGAGAAACTCTTCCCTGAGTTCAGGTACAGAACCTGCTTTCTGATCCGGACCCCGCTCACCATCCACCGGCTTCCTGAGCTAAAACGGTAAACATGAATGTGGATACGTATGAATCACCGGATCTATACAGCGTGACTAAGCGTAGCATACAGAGAAATGGTATCACCAAGGTAACCCAGAGTTGCTAACACTACGTTAGCATAGCATACAGAGAAGCGGTATCACCAAGGTAACCCAGAGTTGCTAACACGACGTTAGCTAGTCAGTTGTCTCGTAGTAAAAGAAAAGTACCGCTTACCTCTTTATGCAACTTCAAATGCCGAACAGTTGGAAGTTGTATTTCCATGAGACCCTGGTCTTGCAGGTTTTGCATGTTTCACTCCGTTTTTAGTTGGATATTTTATGATCGATGTACCCAAAAGAAATTACTCACAGGAGCATATCTGCTTTGAGTGTTTTTTTCCGTCTCTCGTTTTTTTCCCTCGTTTTTATTTTTAAATCCTGTTAATTTGATTGGTTGTGCTGCAGCTACGCACACATACATACGGAGTGTGGAAAAACAGAGGGACGGTATGCGCCGGTTAATACGGAATGAGTGATATTAATTAATGGGGCCATTTTATAAATAATGTGTTTTAAACTTTTGACTTTAGTGAAATATCAAGTCTTTTCAAGTAAAGAGCTTCAAGTCAAGTCCCAAGTCAATGGTGTGAAAGTCAAAGTGAAGTCTGAGTCTTTGAGCATTTTTTCAAGTCAAGTCTCAAGTCGTGATTTTAATGACTCTAGTCCCCACCTCTGGTGAACAGTATATTTAATATTACAAGGCAGCGGTTATGTTAAGTTGTAATAAATCTAGTTGTATATCTCATTATTGTTTATTAAACTCTGAAAGCTGTGTGACTTTGTTAATATTCTGTCCTAAAATGCGGTTAGATGTGCCCTTTTTTGAGCACCTGCCCCTTTAGTGGTCTCCGCACGGCACTGACAAATTATACTGGAACATTTTATGTAAAATTGGAATACATAACATAATATAGTGCTGATTTTAGAAAACTAAGACTTCAAAAGGACAGAAAAAAATAATAAATGTGTCTGAAATATAGAAAAGAAAGCTAAAATGAGCAAAAGAAAAAACAAAAATAAATTGTCTTTACTGGGGGAAAAACTATTATTAAACATCACCCTGGAAAACAAAGATAAATAAGAATAAGAATGCTTTTATACGAGTACTATTTCATTTTTTATTTAATTCAAAAATAAATATACAGACAGTGAATGTGTCTATTGATTGGTGGGTTTTATAGTTACCATAGTTTTTTTTTTCCAACTTAAAAAAAAATTTTGGCAAAAAAAAAAATCAGGTTGTCATACAAAAGGTGGGCATGGATAATTCTTAGTTTTTTTTCTTAAGTGGGCAATGATACATAAAATCTGTAGAAATATTAATTTGGTCAGATGATTTGAAACAAACATTATTAAATATGTCTAAACCTGTAGAAGGGGAAAATGCCAATGATGCAATAACAATGTGGTAACTTGACATTTGTTCTAATGATTTAATAAGAAAAGTGTCTGAACCATCTGCACAGATGCTACATTGGATTGAACAGAGTAGGAGTGTAGGACTGATTTTATTTCAATCTTCTGGTCCCAATCTTAAGGAGCTGTAGTATTTACAAAAACAGAAAAAAAGAAGGTATACAAAACATAAGAAGTCCTACAGTGCTTCTTAACAAAGTGCCATTTCTGATTTTCTCCTAATGAAAAAAAACAAACTTTTTTAATCAGGTTTATTTCAGAACAATACCTGCCAGGTCATTAAAAAACAAGTCACTGTAACCAAACTCTCTCCTTTTTCCTTCCTTTGTTACCCTAACCAACGTACAGTTGGCCTGAAACTCCAAAATACAAACATTTTCTGATAAGTGAACGCACCACACTGAAGTGTTCACAGGTTATGTTTAGTGCGGATGCTGCTACTGAGGGAAGAAGAGTCAAAGTTACTTATTTTTTAGTATTGGAGCAGAGAGGAGATTGAAATGAAGTCAAAGGAAGATTAGAGATGCAAGAAGCTGTTTGGCAAACAATTTCCTACGACATGTCTGCATGTTTAACTAGGCTAAAGATGAGAGAGAGCAAAACTTTCAGCAGATAACAAGAAGGCTGAACATATTACAGTGATGTTGCTCTCTTTTTTCCCCATCTTGAGCTCCTGGAAAAATCTGCATCTGGAAATGTTGGCAGCCTTTGGGATGTCTCAGATTTTGAATGCTAGTATAAGGTCCTATTTACAGCTTTAAAATCTGTAATGACTTGTTTTAAAATCTTAAAAACTTTCTTTGGGATTGTGTATTTTATATTTCTTTAAAAAAAAAGGAATCAGGACAGGCTAAAACTAATTTCAGCAGTTCACAGGTTGACTAAATTCAGAGATCCAAATTATTATTTTTTTTTTTAAAAAAGGAAAAAATATATGAAAAAGAAAAATTGGCCACAAAATTTTGATTGATTGATTTACTCTAGAGTAAAGTTATATTAAAATCTAATGCCAGATTGAAAACGTATCACGATAACCAAAATACTTTTACAACCTGTTCCTGTAGCAACAAACCATTTGTTGTCTGGTTTTTGTTAATAAAACTTCACCAAAAAAACATTCTTTCAATAATACAACAAAAATTATGATTGGAAAAATTTTAAATTGGAAATAGTTCTTTTCTACAAAAAAAACAAAAGAACATTGTGAGTTCAATGAAGAAGTGCATATGTAGTAAAAAAGTGTTTGGAAAGAATCTCTGGTGTGATCACAGTGACTTTCTCTTGAACGCACCGACATGCAAGCATTGTAATCAAACAAACCTGAATAAAACTATTAAATTAACCCTCTTATTTCTTTAATGTAGCCATGCATGTTTGATTTATGGCTACATTAAAGACAAAACAACGAGAGCTACACTGATCCCATCATGAAGCCACAGAGTCTTTCCAATGGTCCCCCATCACAACCTGATGCATCTTTTTTTTTTTTTTTATAACCCTGAAAACGTTTCAGAGTCAAATCCAGTCTGACCCGACTCGGCCTCAAGCAGACCCTAATCTCAGATTATCTTTGTAGTCAAATAAACCAAAAGGTTCGTCAAGATTAGACATAAGCAACACAGTGTGATTCACCGAGAGGCGAAAAAACAGTCAGTTTGACGACTTGCTGCTAGACAGATGAGGGAAGAGTCTTCAAACAACTGAAGAAACCAGAGTGAGGAGTTCTGATCCGCCGGCTCTGAACAGACCCCGCCTCCTTTGCAGGAGCAGCGAAGCGCCGCGGCTCAGTTCAGGTTGCCGCTCTGACTCCTTCAGGTCAGCAGATAACTCTGTACACCGTGTCCTCTGCAGCTTTGGCTTTAATAGTTTTTTTTTTCTTTTTAAAATAAGAGTCCGGTGGCTGCGGGCGCGGCCGGCTCCGGCGTTTAGTCGGGCATGTCGATGCAGAGCTTCGGCGGCGGGACGAAGTACTTCCCGGGGCTCTGAGTGATCACCACGCCCGTCTTCTTGTGGAACATGGGGGCGATCTTGGGCGGCGCCTCGGGGACGGGCAGGTCGTCGACCGCCTCGGGGTCCTCGCTGCGCTGGAGGTCGTAGGACACGTTGCCGTACTCCCTGAGGAAGGGCAGCAGCTCCAGCAGGAAGTGGCAGAAATCCTTACGGATGCCGAACCACCCTGATGATGAGCAACGACAAAGTCAGACGAACGTAATAGGACTGAAACAAATGCTTTTGCAAGAACAAATCTAAACTTTACACACACAAAAATATCGTGAACCTAATTAAAAATGCTGCATCAGCGTCAGAAGGCTGTGGTTTCCTACTCACAGTGGTTTCCTCCTTTCTGTCCAAAGGTTGTGGCCATGAGTGTGAGCAGAGAGAGCCACAGCGGGACAAACACACACACGTAGCTCAGACTGTTGTGACCATCCAGCTTGTGCACCAACAGGATCTAAAAGGATAAAAAAAAAAAATGAGTCAAAATGAAAATGATGGATGGTTTTTCCTATTCAGATCCCTTTACTCTGATACCCAAAAATTCTATATTTTATGTCCTCTGATATGTGAAGTTGGTGTCGTAAAAAGCAATTATATTAACGCATAATAAATTAAAGTGAGCTCGATCATTTCCTTTCTGATGATTAGTAATAGTTTTTTGAAGGGCAGTTTTGTTTGTGGACTCTATAATGCATAGCTTAGTTTTTGTGTTGGTTTATTTCCTTTTTTATTTATTTGTTTTTGTTTGTTGTGTTTTATTTTGCATATTTAAAACATCTTCCAGGTCCAGTGTGGCGTTTTCTGTTCAAAATTAAAATGTATTAGTCTTTTCGAGGGCAAATTGTATTATTATGCCATTATAAATAGCGATGCATCTGGGAACGCTATGAAAAACTAACTAAAATGTAGTGGTTGCTATGGCAATTTAGACCCAAACAGTAACAATATCGTTATTTTACATAAATTCTGTCACATGCTCATTCCCACAACTTTCTCGCATTTTGCTAGAAAGCCACCAGGCTAACTTCATATTTTTATGAAAAAATATATTAGAACCAGAAATTAATCTACATATTTAACGTGGATTCAAAGACACTCTATGAAACTATTTTTAGCCCAGTGTAACAGAGTCACGGCGAGTAAAACTGGAGGCCCCTCACCTCAAAGGTGAGAAGAGGTACAACGATGGTCATCCAGCTGATTGCCATGGTGATGTGCGTGCGCCGTTGCTCGGCGATGATGTCTATGGAGCGGAGGAAGAGGACTGACCAGATGATGTAGTAGAGGACGACAAGGCACAGGAAGGACATGAGGATCCACAGCGGGACACACACCACCTGCAGGACACACACACACACACACACCGACATTTTATCAAAATATCACACAATGATGGATTAAATAACTTATTTCTTTCTTTCTGTCCAGATTTCTCTGTGCTGTGACACATTAACAGAGTTGTGCATAACTTCAGTGGAAGGAAGATAACAGCTGAAACCAGAAGTTTACATACACGTTAATCCTCACTGTCAGAAGTGAGATCAGATCAAACATTTGTTGTTTACTAAATGCCCTGCATGTAAACTTCTAATTTTGAAGACAAATATCTAATATTTGATTTTATGATTAGCAAACAGAAATTAACTGACCTAAAACAAGAAACGCTTGGACTGATTGAGCAAATGAATAAAAAAAGGTTTATATTTTAATTAAGTTTGTGTAAACTTCTGGGGTATGTGCAGATTTTTTTTTGTTACGCTGTAGACTTTTTTTCACTTCTTCCTTATAAAATATTATGTAAAGAATGTTTTTTTTTTTTTGTTAATGTTGTAAAATAAGTCCATAACATAAAACGGTAGAAACAGTGTGTGTATATTTGTGCAACAACAGGAAGTGTGTGTTCCTCACCAGCCAAGGCCAGAGTATGATTTTGTCCAACCTCAGAGCAATGAAGATGAACTGCAGGATATTTACAGAACAAAGCACCTCCAGCTGAGGAGAAACAGGAAGTTGTCATCGGCATATTCAGACAGTATTACATGAAAAAAATGATTTCAGTTTCACATTTCCCCCCCTAAAGTAAGAGATCCCTTGAAAATTTTGTGCCAAATACACAAATAATTAATAGCACAGATACAGAATTTTGCAGATTTTGTGCTTAAATAGAATTATTTTGTTGCTTGAGCTGCGTGTGTGTGCGTATGTGTGTGTGTGCGTTAGTTCTCCTGACCTCAAGGGAGCGATCGTGTCTGAAGCCCCAGACGCACGCTGCTACGGAAACGGGCGACACGAAGAAGAGCGGCATGAAGACGAGGAGCCAGAAGTATTTGCCCTTCTCCACGCGGTCGCACACCAACACCTCGAACATCAGCAGCAGGACGTGCAGCCCCACCGCTATCAGCATGGCCTTGAACTCCACGCACGTCTCCCCTTCAGCCCTGAGGCGCAAAATGAAACACGTCTTATCATCATCATCGTAATAGCACTGATATTCATCCCCACTGATAATTATACTTAGTATAGGGAACGTACTTTGAAAGCCAAAACAGCTTGTCCTCCTGGGAGATAATCCAACCCCAAAAAATGAATGAATAATTCAATGGGAAGTTCATTTTTCATTTGGAGGAAGTAGAAAACCTGACTGCAGAGTCAAAGTTGTGGTCAAATATTTCAAGAGGAGGAGCCAAAAACACCCCAACTGACTAAAATGTTTTTGTTTTTTTCCTGCCAAGTAATGGTGACAAATCCAGGAAGAGCTTATTGATCATGAGACATGTGTAACATGGTTGCTTCTTTTTAATGTATTTCAGTAACATGGATTACAAACAACATCTAAACAAACAGAGAGATCAGACGTAAACAGGCAGCTTACGCCTGAGGTCATGTGTGTGTGTTTGTGTGTGTGTCTACCTGTACTGAGGGTTGTGGGCCCACACTCCGGTGCCCACGGAGGCCCCGATGATCACCAACAGTTTCCACAGCCATATTGGGGTGAACACGGCCCAGTAGCTCCACTGGATGACCCCGTCCAGCTTCAGGGACAGCAACACGGAGAACAGCAGCAGGCAGGAGTAGATCAGGAACTTACTGCAGCAACGGAGAGGGAGACATGAGCGGCGTCACAGCACAACAAGGATATGTGAAAAAAAAAACAAGAAATAAAAAAAAAATTATAAATCAGTTTTCCAAAAATCTAAGATCTGGAAATTGAAAAGAAAATGTAGGATGAAAAACTTATAATAATCATGATTATTCCGACTTTATTTACCATCAACCCGCCTTCTAACTTTCCTGTCTTTAATTGCTGCATGGATTTTTTTTTTTTAGTGAGGAACACCTCATGACAATCACATAAAAAGACGAACTACTCTTATTACAAACAAGCTAATAATAAAGTTGTTTGTTTTTTAATGGAAGGTAACCGATTGATCAAATATATTACTGGCTGTAAAAATGATCCGACTGCCCAATCTCAAATGAGCAGACAAGAATTAAAATGTTTTCTAAGATTCATAGCATTTCTAAAAGCTTCAATCACAATTATTGTCATCCTTCTGATTTAAAACTTCTAACAAGGTAAGGAGCTGTAATTACATCTATTTTTATTACAAGAAGAACACAGGCGCCTCGATACCCTGTGGGATCTTAACTCTCTTTTATTGATAATTTATCTCAGTTACATTTTTGACTTCCCAGGTATCAATGTATAATGATAGACATCATTATCATTCAAAAGTACTTTAAAATAGCATTACACAGTGTAGGTATACTTTCGGTAAACCATGTTAAATGTCTTGTTTAGATTCCACTTAATTACTATGACAACATAATAATGAGCGACAACAGAATTAAAAAGGTGCTTATGAAGTTGTCACTTTAGCTCATTGCTTTATTGTCCAATGTCAGTAACCACAGTGGTGCTAAAGTAATGTATAAACTATTTATTAGCCATAGGAGAGGTCACAGATCAAAATTCGTTTTGCGTTGTTTACATTAGCATGCTAGCCGGGCCTCTCAAAGCCGGACACTTTTATTTAGGTTCGACAACTTTATTCAGACTGTTTAATGCGGCTACGCGGGCTACAGCATCATAGCACTGCGTGTCTGAGCCATAAAAACTCAGACACGTATGCTTTTCTTTTAGTATTTTCCGGCGAATAAGAGCCGAAGCTATGCCATAGCTGAAGCTAGCTCGCAGCTAACGTTACCTGGGATTGAAGTCCTGAAAGAGTCCTCTTAAATTCATGGTGAACAACAGAGCCGGTAGGCTAGCTAGCTGATGTTAGCTTCCTCACCCCTGGAGGAAACCTCCGTGTCTAATCTGAATGCTACACATTGTAATTTGTGGGAGAGCTCAGCCTTAGGTCTCCGGTTCATTACTTAGTATGTTGTGTTTTGTTTTTTTTTTCCTCCCTCAACGACCAGCTCACGGGATATGACGTCATCCTTTCTTATTCATTGACGTTGTGGGGAGAAAAGAAATTGAGACATTACTGCCACCTTCTGGTAAGATGGACAAATCTGTGGGGACATACAAAAACATATATATATATATATTTCCGTTTATTGCAGAGAAAACTGAATTATATTTTTGTCTTTTATTTTGTGGTTTGGAAAAAGTTACCTTTTACATTCATATATTTCTAACAGTATACTAGATCTTGATCATGATTCAGTGCTGTTGAATACATTAAATCTGGTTCCACTCCTGTTATTAAGGCACAGTAATCATTGCTCATTGCTCCTCCTGCTTAAGTACTGAGTACTTGAGTATTTATTTTGAGTCCATAGCATATGATTTGTTGTTTCAAAATGATACTAACAGAAATATACAGTTATGTGCAAATTCTAAAAAAAAGAAGAAATATTAATACATAACACTCATGCAAAAAAACATATTCAAGACAAAAACAAAATATTAAAGTAAAACTAATAGTAATTCACATTAAACCAGAGTAAGATACACATGGCTATAATGCACCTCTAATTGGCATAAAAGTCTCAGCAGATAGGAAATAACATAAAAATAATTTGGCTTGTGTACAAAGAAGACTCCTCACTTCATCAAACTGTAGATAAGGGTCTTTGGCTAAAACAAATTTGTTATTCATTCAATAAAATAACTCCCTGAGGATACCCAGACATATCACTCAAGAAGAAAAGTAATATGTCATAATATTACTCAAGTAAAAGTAACTGAGTAAATGTAACTAGTTACTCCCCTCCTCTGATTGCAATCTTTTGGGGTATAACATTTTTTTGAACATTCTCAGTGATGTTTTACACACTACAACAGCTATTGTCTTCAATAGCTGAAGACACAGCTATTGTGTCTTCAGAGCTTTGACACTATAGCTCTGAAGACAATCGCACAATACTAAAGCTTACAGTCTTGAATTTATTGCAGATTCAGTAAAATCTACAAATGTCACCATATGAGTAAAAACATAGTTTACAACTTTCATCGGAATCCTGCAAAGATTCTGTTGTAGCTCTTTAACTTAATTACAAGTATGTCTATAGGAAATCAACCGCCAAACATGTCATTTCTTTAAGCATAAAAACAATAAATCATTATCACATTAAACCCGCAGAACTACACTAAGCATCACAACCAGTGATGAATGTGTTTTAACTTTTTACATTTCATAAATCTGGTTAATTTAACTGTTGCAGAACAAACAAGCCTGCAGCCTGCATGGCAGCTGCATCCAGATCGTAGAACAAACTGGAGCATCTCCGTTACTGCTGGGCTCCACCTTCCTGCAAACAGCCAGCATACATTTTACTTAGCACAGTATGTAAAATATTGTCTATTAAAAGCAGGTTTAGTTTAAAGGTATTAAAAGATGTTATTCAGTTGATCCAAAAGACACGTACAGAACAATAGAGACTCCAAATGAAAGATATTATTTACTTTTTCTGTTGTTCTTTCCTTTGTTCTGGTTGATAGTTTTAACCTTCACAGGAAACCACTGGAAAGCAGATACCAATGTTATAAAAAAATTAAAAAAAACAGCACTGACATCGTGGTTAGAATCAGACAGTGTTGTTGCAGAATAAACAGCTTGGATGTAGTCAATTTATTTATAACTACATAACTTTTAGTGGAACTTCCAAATGTGGCACGGACATTTTCCCAACAAAAGAGACCAACTTAGAGACATTTATGTTTAAAAACTCAGAATTTAAAGCTTACAGAAAAGATTATTCATTGGACATTTGTTCACGCGCATGTAAAATATAACACAATGTTTGAAACATTTTATTTTTGTGCTTCTTAAGGGAACATGGTTTAAGCAAGGCAGACGTTTACCTGGTTTCACATTAACGTACAGACAATCCTCCTCTGGATCACGAGGCCTTCCTGTTAAAGTCACAACATAAATAAAAGTTCATGCTTGAAAATCTCCAAAACTTTTTTCTTTCTTTTTTTTTTTTGTTGTCATATGTTTAAAACTTTGGGATTGAAGAATGTCTGACAAATTTCAGGACTTATTCCAATTGCATTTAATGAGTTTCCCAACTTAGTTGTAGCAGCTCTATTCTAAAAAAATATCTTACCATTTCCAGTGGCTTTGCAAGTTTCAATTTTTTCATAAAGAGGTGTGTCACCTATAATAAGTAAGAAAAATGTCAAGGCTAAAGTTCTGCTATGATGCAGCTGTAACAAAGACATCTATTATTTAAAAAATAAAATAAAATATCTGTATTATTGTGATTTCTAATGCAGCTAAAGCCTTTCCTGACAATTTCAGGTTATTTTTTTGATGATGCGTGAACTGTCTGAGACTTGTTTTTCTGAAACTGAATCGCCGTAAAGAGAAAAATAATAAGTCAAAATACGAATGCAGTTAATTCTGTGACCAACCCTGCAGCAGAGAGTTGTAAACCTGACTTCCAGACCGATTTGCTTCATGGCTGGTGGTGGAGCTCTGACTGCGCCTCTCTGTCAGAAACAATCTGAAAGTATGAAAGGGTTTCTATCAATGAAAGGAAGGATTCTTTTGTGGCATATTTATAATGAGAGGACATAAATGTCAAGCTGACCTGATGCAACGCCACAACGAGAGCAGGAGAATGATGAGAATGATTCCACTAACTGGTCCAATGATCAGCAGCACTAGACGTAAAGAGCCGACAGGACCGGACACAGCTTGTGGAAATAAGAAAAAAATGAAACAAAAAACTGTCAAAAGTCTGTAGCATATCAAAACAAATGCAGTTAACCGTTTTACGTTACTAAAATGAATCAAATATTTTCCTCCTCCTCACCTCTAACAGACATCCAGCTCCTTGGTGAATCTTTTCCTGAATGTTGACATTTGTAGAAACCTTCATCTGACTTTGACACTGCAGAGATATTCAGCTCCCCTCTGCTGTCATTATGGAGGAGTTTATCATTATGATAGAAAAACACATTGGAGAGAAGTTTGTCTTTCATTCTGCAGCTCAGAGTAACAGGATCTCCCTCAGTCACAGGATGAACAGGACTCAGCAGGAGAGGAGCAGAATCATCATCTGTAAAACAATCAGACAATGTTGGGTTGGAGCAAAGATGATTAAAAATGGTCAGTGTTTTTTACAGTGTCACTTTCTTGTAAAATTCAGCAATAATAACATTTTTATTTAAATGCCTTTAGTAATCAATCAAAATTAAATTAAATTAATAATCTGAAAAGGTTGAACAAAATATCAACAAATCAAAAGCAAAAGTCTCATGAGGGATTAAATACCAACCAATTTTGTCTCTGACATGGTTTATATGTTGGAAGGCATGTATCATGTATCAAGCATCATGTATCATGTAGCTCAGGTGTATTTCTGCATAGGCTGTGATAAATTGTCCTTTTTGAAAAGAATTGGATCCAAAATCAGAAATGTTTTAAAATAAAACATTTAAACATTAAAAATGTTTCTTTTCAAACTGTCTGAAAACTGAAACTACCGTCAATGTAAACCAAAAATATAACCAGACAACAGCAAACATTTGGCTACCATCGTTAAACAGCGGAGTCTGAACTGCTGGACTGGCGTCTGTGTTCGCTGCTTTGCAAAAGGTGGAAATGAGTCAAACCAATGAGAAACGATGAACACATTTGCAAGAGGCGTCTTTTGCTCTGCCGAGACGGCGACCGTAAAAACTGATTATCTCACCAATCAGTTGAGATAGCAATCTTTAAGTAGGTCAAAGCTATGAAGCAAAGTTTAAATGTAAAAAGATGTCAAAGAAAAGATAATAAGACATTTCTTCACCCTGTACAGTGATGTTGATGGCATTGCTAGTCTCTCCAGATTGAGACTCACACCAGTAAACTCCACTGTGATGCCGATGCGGGTCAATGGTGCATGTAGATCCAGTCATTGTCCCCAAGTAGGAGCAGTATGACAGTTTTCCTGTTTCTATAAACCTCTTCACTCTCCACTCAGCAGAGTTTCCCTCACAGTTTAGAGTCACAGATTCAGATCTGAAGTGTTGAACTCTGTCAGGATTCACTGAGAGAGAAGCTGCTGGACGAGGATCTGGAAACAAGACAGGATTTCATCTGAGAACAGAAACATCTTTAAAATGATTCATTACAAATGGTTCCTTGCTTTGTTTCCATAGTAATAAAGATTACAGTAAGTATTTCAGCAAGTTGACCAAAAATATTTCAGTGCTTCTAAAGCGAAATAAACTACCCAAGAAGAAACAGTTTTTTCATCTTTTACAAAAACAAGTTGGATTTTACTGGTGAATGTTTAACAGCTTCTCATGATCAATGTTTGAATTCAGCTCTAAACTTGGTGGCTGATTTTATTTCCTGCATGCTGACTTCTTTAGCTTTTCTTTTATCAGCTGTATGAGTTTGTCAGAAGTTTGCAGAAAATTATCTCATGTTTTTGTCAAGTTACACAAGATTAAATCCTACTGAAAGGATCCAGAGCAAGTCCTGCTTATTATCCCATAATGTGAATGACACATTAGATGGCTATGATCAAAAACACTTTTTCTTTCCAATGTTGTGTCTTAAGTGAAGTGAATTTTTGGAATCTTTTATTTGTATAAAACTTCAAGAAGCATCTAAAAGAAATGTTGGATCAGGCTAAAAACCTCTGAAACTTGGTTTTATTGAGAGCAAAGAGAAACAAACTGACCTGCAGACCAGACAAACTTTGGTTCACTGTAATAAGTGTAAAACTCTGGTTCTCCTCTTCCTGCTCTGCACACAAATCCTGCTGTGAGAGTCGGTCCATGAACAGTGTTGGAGTTCTGTTCGGTCCCATTGGTGCTGCCAGGAAGCAGCTCAGAGGTGTAGGAGCTGCTGGATGGTTTAGGAACAGCTTTATACCAGAAGAACCTCCATCCTGCTGGTTGATGCTCCAAACCCTCACAGCTCAGAGTCACTGAGGCTCCAGGATTCAGCCATGATGGAGACACAGAGAGGACAGGCTGAGGGGGAGATGCTGGAGAGAGATTTGGAATTGAGTCAAACATTTGTCCACATCACCTTTCATCTTTTCACTTTAAGGCTATTTGAAATGGGTTTTTATTACAGTATTATGTATTCCAGGCACTCAGTGCCATTTTATAGCACAACCGAGGAATATGTTACCTTCAGTCGTTCTATAAACACAGTATATATCAATCATGACCTAAAACAAGTTTGATTTAGCAACTTAGCGCCTTGAAATTGAGCCTCCATCTGTTTAAGAAGCTCCTGCTTCTTCCACCCCTTCGCCTTCAGCACGTCTTCGCAGCCATGCTTCTACATAAAGTATTTAACAACATTTGTAGGAGTGTTCCACTGAGAGGTAGCTCTTATAATGACCTCAGCATGTGTGTAGTTTCACCAGGTGTTTGCTAATTGCTGTTGGCTAGTCTGAAGGAGCTGAGTGAGGGAGCAGTGGGGGAGAGTTGAAAATTTGCTTTTATAATTGTTTTAAGACCTATTTAGTCCAAGTGGCAATAAAAAAAAAATCACACAAATGACCACTTTCATTTAAATGATAAATAGCCAACTTACATACAATCAGTTTAATAACTTCACTCCATGGAGTGAACTTCACTTCTCTTTTTCCTCTGCATCTGTATTCTCCACTGTGAGCCTCAGTAGCTGAGAAGTTCATGTATTCACAGGGTATTAGAGACTTTCTATTGGTTGTTTTCCATTCATATGTCCACTGAGCTCCTCCTGCTTCCTGGATCTGACATTTCAAAATGACTGTCTCTCCTCTGTAGATCTGAGGCCAGCTGGGATGGAGAATCACTGAAACCCTGTGAGAAGCTGCAGCAAGAAACACGATTAGGAGGGAAAAGAATCTGAAAAACGAAACTGAAAATAAGACAGTGTAACGTCTACGATAATGATGTCAATCTAAGCATATTTTTTCTTACGAATGAATGCACTTTTACAGAACTTTATCTTATCTTACCCTCGGCTAGTGTCGTTGTTCTGTCTGCTGTCAGAGTTGCTTTGAAACCTGCAGGTTGGAAAACCATGAGAACATCTTCTATCACTGATGCTTAGAGCATTTAGAACAAACCTGATAAAATGTTTGTAATCTAAACTGAGACTTAACCACGTTGGACTGCGCTCTGATTTAATCCGAATCAACAGAACTAATGTTTGATCAACAGAACCTCACCGATTCATCAAAATTAATAGAAATAAAGGCTTTCAACCTTCCAACCGTGTGACTAATAATCTATACACTATGTTTCACTTTGTGATAAAGTTCCAGAAATAGGCAGGCTTTTCAGCAATATTCTAACTTTCTGAATGGGTCTGTAGAACAGATGACATGTGAGGTAAAACACAAAGATCTAGAAAGTAGTCATTCATCAATCCACGTCCTGTGAGGCGTTGGTGAGGCTGCTTGTTTCTATCGCCAGCAGTCATTGGGTGAGTCATTATTTAGCTTAACCTTAGAACAACAGTTGATTTTCTTGTATAAAAATATATCCATGATAACTTAGAGTTGGGAACAAAACAACACGACGTTTACATCCCTCTGTAGTCATCTGAACATAAAACCTGACACTCCGAGGGTCTTGAGAGTCAGTAAACCGGGTCAGTAAATCGGCTCAAACAGAAGCACGCGTTGTTCCGGACACATTGTTCAGCAATATGACGACGTGTAAACGGTAAATTTTAAAGAAATTATAAAGAGAGCAATTGTTGGAACAGCTGCAACAATGGTGACCACAATAAGAGGGCAAAGACCTGGGAGTTCTGTCTTCATTGCTGTCGGATCTGAATAGAGATACTCAGTAACTTGGCATCATGGAGAAACATTTTAGAAAGTCAGTGATGTACTTACAGAAAAATCCCAGCATGCAGAGCAGACTGTGCCTCATCCTTGCATCCAGAACGGCTTCTAGAAGCTGAGCCTAGTACATATTACATTTACTTCTCAGTATCTCCTCTGTGTATGTGTTTCCGTCCCTTCTACACAAAACTTCACACCACACCACAGCAAAGCCTGTTTGAAGCAGTTGATGGTGGTTTGCATTTCCTGTCCACTGCACAGATGTCTGAAGCCGCGCTGTGCACAACATTCTGCGTCGCCTTCCAAGCAGGCACCACTTTCTAGTGCAAATTGCTGTTTTTTTCTTTTTTTTTTTGCTCTCATACAGAAGGAAAGTGCTACGCTGATTTTTGCATACAAAAACATTTGCTGTGTGACCGTTTCTAAAACACTATTCATCCATTCTACATTTTATTTTGCATCTTTTTAGTTTGGTGAGTGAATTTTCTTCCGAGACACCTTCTGAAACAGCATCTTCCTCCGTCCACCTCTCACTCCGCCTCCACAAACAGAGCAGAACAACCTTGGCGCGTAAGTGACACAGAACCCCCACCCCAACACCCAGAACACACAAGACGCCCGCTCACCAAATAGACCAAATCATTTTTGGATTGGTGGGGGAAATTGGGAGGGAAATCACAAGGAGTAAATGGAAAAACCGATGCAGAAATACCTCAGGCCGCCATTTAAACTTAGGAACGTCTTGCTGCATGGCAACAACGCTAATGACTATTGAGAAGTTTATCAGCACATAAAATCTGTCTAAGCATAGTTTGCGTGGGCAGGGGGGGGCAGTTATGGTACACGTGAGAATGGTGGTAGCAGCAATCAATCTGACCTTGTTTCCGCAAACTAGGGCTATGTCACAAGATGGCTAATCTGGTTGGCCCCACGTTGCACGTAAAACAAAGTGCGCTGTCCCAGTAGTGCTTCATTATATGAAATGCAGAGGACAATGGATTACGGTTTGAGTCACTGAATCTAAATTGTTCATTTCTGTCTGTGACGTTCCAGGTCAAACAAAGTAGCATGCAACACCCAATCTGAAAACAAATTTCAAGTATGAGGAAGAAGTGTGATAAGACGATTAAACAGAAGGAGTATGTTGAACTCTATAGAGTGAATGGTTGCAATGAAGGATGTAGATTTAATTTGTTGTCCACACTTTTGACCACAAACCTGTTTCTCTAAACTAATTTCAGAGCTTAACAAAATTAATTCAGTCATGACTACTGACTCCGTCCGATGCCTCAGTTGGTCTTTGTTACCAGTCTGGCAGATTGGAAAAAATCTTGATTTTCTCATAAAGAGGAAAACGATATGGCAGCCTCGTTTGCGTTTATGAAAGAATCTGATCTTATCTGCAAAGAGCTTACCTTGGGTTTAGTCGGGCCCATTGTGGTCCGGTCACTCCTTGTTTGATTGCTCATGTGGCAAAGAATATATAGCAGTTATTGGGCAAGAGGTGGGCACCGTGGACTGGACGGTGCATTGCAATGAAACATGGCAACACACAAGAAAGACAACCATATATGGGCACACTGACATGTAAGGACGATTTAGAGAGATCAATTAATTATGAATAGAACTTGTATAACATACAAAAATACATGTTCAAAGAATCAAATGTAATCTAGGATTTAGTCATTTGCAAAGGCTTCACTTTTGATACTTGGATTAATAATATTCTTTTACCCATTTCCTCCATATTGATAGAACTGGAGGAATTGGAAAAAAAATACATAATTAAAAATGCTTTATTTAACTTACATTTGATGCAGGGATACTAATCAAAAATATCCCTAAGATACTATCTGAACCATAGACATGAATGATCTGGACTGAGACCCGCCATTTTTGATTGAAAAAAAATAAGTCATTTGCTGCCACCTCGTGATGCAAAATGGAAACTACAACATGATTTTGCATAATTATATTGTAGTTTCCATTTCGTTTCAGTTAAGAGGCCCCGAATTTATGGGAAAATTTCAGTGTTTATATATATCTATATTATATATATATATATATATATATATATATATATAGATAGATAGATAGATAGATAGATAGATATTTTTTTTTCCATGATGATAAGCCTAAAAGAAAAGTCCTCATTTCATGTCTGTATTGATTCTTTATTTTTTCCAGATTCTTAGCCCTTACAAAGATCGTTTCTTTCTCTTTTGTCCTTTTAAAAATGTTTGTTTCACTTTTGCTTTAACAGTTTTAATTGCATCAAGAAAATAACCTTGTTTTGTTGTTTTACTCTACGGTATTTTTGGGGAAACTGTTTAGCAACTAGCTGGGATTTTTAGTTTCCATATGGGCAAGCACCAAAGCTTATTAAAACTGTTCTCGCACAGTTGAAACACAACGATTCACACAGAAGATTTTTTTTTTTTTTTGCGACAAACAAGTTGCCTCTTGTTTCTTGAGCCTTTCTGTTGGCTTGTGCTCTGCTGAGTTTTTCCCTATTTACAAACATCACAACATGTTTCACCTTGACAGAGAAAAACAATGGGAAGAAAAAATGTTTTGAACAAGCGTGTACTTTTATTTAAAACCCGTTGAGGACATCAGCTGACATCATGCAATTATGTGCCTTAGCTTATAAAGTGCCATAGCAGAAGGTAGGGACATATATAAATAAAAACAAAGTGCATTAAAGAAAACGGTAACATTTTTATGGACAAATTTTTGAACTGAAAACTTGGAACTCCACATCTAAAACTAAACAGAATAACAAATTTTCTAATGGTTCTAAGAGCATTACAGCAAAAAAAAGATTGTGACCACATCATGTGGCCTAAAGTGCGTTTCTGTGACTAAGTGCAAATCAGAAGTATGTCTCATGCTTGATTGTTGCATGACTGCTTTATTTCCACATTCCGATAAACAACTTTTTTTTTTCTTTGCTAAAGCAATGTCCTAAAGTCTTAAAACGGAATATTATACAATCACATATGTTCCCCTTTTCCAGTTTTTCTTCGGATCAAACAAGTTTAGATTGGATTCCATAACTTAGAAAACGTTTGATGATAAAAGTGGGCAGCAGCTACATACATCAAACTAGGAGCAACTTTTATGTAAAAGAAAAATCAGAAGACACTGGGCGCTCCACCTATTGCCTACATGTTCCTTCTATTGTTGAAAACTTAAATTGCTTAGCTCTTACACATGGATACAGTGAGTAAGCATCCAGCATCTCAAGCGCTGAAGATCAGTAGGACCCAGATAACAATAAGAGGAATAAAGCTGCTGGAGCAGGACACACTGCCTGGCAGGGGAAAGAAAAACAAAGACAAAAAAAATTATAAACCCGTCATTTCCTGTTCCGACTGAAAGACAATGCAAACGAAACATAAAAGAGATAACGTGAAAAGTTGGATAAAAGCAGCAGCCCAGACAGAAAGCTTAGCATTAGCCGCTATGCTAGCTAAATTTAAAGCATTACGGGTGTAAAAGTTCATACGCTTACATTGAACCACACAGGCAAAAATGTTGGTTCAAGATACATGCAGTCACACAAGAAATACATTATTCAAAGGCAATCAGGAGTCTGATTTCAAAGAACCCAAGACTGTTAGCACTTTTATTAATTGATGGCCATTAATAACCATTAATCGGTTATTAATGACAGGATGTGGAGGCTTAAAGATCAACCAGGTTGTTTTGGAAGCAGCGATGCATTGAGTCTTTTGATGAGGTAGAAACAGAAATACAGCAATCCACCTTATGGAAATGAACGGAGAACCGTTTCTGTTTTTGTTCTGTATACCTGGCATGAAGCAATGTGATTTTGTCAACCAGTGTGGCTCGTCATGTGCACTTTGCAGTAGGTTCAAATGAAAACAAGAAGATGAATCAATCATCTAAAGCACTCCACAAATGTATGTCTGACAGTATCAACACACAGAAAGATGAAGACTTTCCCATAAAGATTTCAACTGTCTTTATGGGAATGCTTAAGTTTCAACTTCAACCCAATCTCTTTATTTTCCATTTCCAAAGAAGTGAAACAAACCTAGGATTTAGCATTTGCCATGTCAGCTTCTGCTGTGGTGTGGTATTCTTAATGAGCCGTGAATTAAGTGTACTGCTACATCCCTAGAAGGTATGAAAACACCACAGTTAAAACTGAAAGCTAATTCAAGACGATGGCTTAGTCTCACCGTTCAGAACATTCTGCCCCTTTGCTTCGGGATCGAGTTGTGTCTCTGAAGTAATGGTTTTCGATGAGTTTTGAGCTGAAAGGACGGGAGGAAAAGCACACAATTTCAAATACAGTTTACAAAGCGTTTCCCATGAAACTGTTCATAATCTGCGTAATAAACAGCTTCATTTGGGGCATTTGGAACAATTCAGTCAGAAGAAGAGGTGGATGCTTCAACTATCACCTGACAGACCGACCAGAGTTAATGAGACTAAAAGGTTTGTGTGTTTAATCAAGTGGTCAGCAGCACAGGAGCACCACACTTCAACTCACCAACAACAAGGCGAACAATTGAAGATTTGGTGTTGCCTTGTAGCTTTGGGATGAAGCATTTGTATTCCCCTTCGTCTGCAGTCGTGACGTTGGTGACGATGAGGGATATGTTGCCGTGTCTCAGGCCGCCTGCGAACAACGCCGTCCTGTTGTGGTACGACGAGCTCTTCATGTCCTCAACCTCGTGGTTGTCTCGGTACAGGTGCACGTATTCCATTCCCTTTGGCCGACGCTTGGCGTCAGGCCTTGACCACTCCACCGTCATGTCCACCATGTCCAGCTGAGGCTCCACGAGGCACTGGAGGATGACATCATCACCTGGAGCAGCGACAACTGGTTGACCCGAGCTTGTTACCTGATAATGACCTAACAATGGAGGACAGAAATCTTATTTTCTTTTGTCAGTAAAGCAACCCAAACTATTATTCTTCTACCCCCATGTTTTTGAACGGTTGTTTTCCAGATTATTTATGTAAAAAACAAACACAATATTGCTTTTCTATAGTGATAAGTTATTCCATAGCACATGAGTCTATAAGACAATCTTTGAATTTCCATGTTCACTTCATCATAGAAATTGTTGACACGAACATCTTACACCAACCAGTCTGGCTTTGGACTGAATATGCTGGGAAAGTTAGATAGAAAATGTTCAACTGACTTACTCTCCCTGCCATTTAAAAGAAAGAATATGATAAAGATAGGTTTATGAGAAAGCAGCTTGTTTTAATAGCTTATGTTAATCCAAACTAAATAAGAGTAGAAGTAATTAGTTACGAGTTTAAAAGATATCATTGTACACTTACCCTTAACGGGAGTTGGGATGAAAATGAGCGCAAACAAAAGAAAACAGAAGCTCAGCGTTGCTGGCATCTCGTTCTTTCCACTGTTAAATACAGAATGACAGAGTTCGTGACCCAGCTGGTCAACTGATTCAAGCAAACAGAAAGGGACCAGGAGAAATTCCTGTGAAAATCCCCCTGTCGGGAGCGCGCATTGCAGCCAGAGAAGTGGATTCGTCGGATTTGACCATTTTCACGGCGCTTCTGATCGATTTCTCGGTAAAAACTACTCATATAATCATGTCAGTGTTGTAACTTTCAGTTTAATCGGCAGCTATCAAAATAAAAATACATACGTAAATAAACGAGGTCTGGTGTGGAGGTCTTTTTACGCTGTTTTGTGTTATTTTAAACGTGAAGAGAATCGATCTTTTTTTTCAGCTTTTGTCTCGTAAGCCTGACAAATAAAAGTCAGACAACAAACACAGGTTCCCAACACGAAGTGTGCATTTATAATTTTTCATTTCTGATAAAGGAGGAGGGAAGCTGGCCGATAGCAGGGCACAAAAATAAAGACTTCCTGAAAAGATCAGTGTGTAAACTTTTTGGTCAATCCCGTTCTAAAGTAAAATATGACAGATTACTGGATTAAGGAAATGTCTAGTATGCTATCACACATAATAATTTTTGAGAATTTGGAAACAGTTGCTTTTTATCTCCCAAAGTTATGGGGGGAGAAGAAGAGAGAATGGATATTTCACCAGCCTGATAAAATCTGTTCCCCCTCTATAAAATGGAAACAAATTAATTTACCTTCAAAGTCTTTTACTGTGTTCATTCCCCTCATCATCAACAAGAAATCCTGTGATTTTCATAACATTTATTAAGTTATAGACAAACAATTTTGTTAAATAACTGTTTTCACATGTTGATGTATTAAGTTTTGGATAAGAACTTTTTTTTAATCAAAACATAGAAATTATAGTCATGATAAAAATTTTCATTAACACTCAAAATAAGAATATTAATGTTATAATCACCACTGTTAAGAATAAGTCTCACAGCAATGTCCAACCTCATGCTGTAGACGCCGCAGTGGAAACAGGAAAATCCACAACCTCTTTTGCTAGGAGTTTTTTCTGCAAACTGAAATAAACAGCTTCATTTAATGATTCACATTTTAGGTAACAAAGAAAATAATTCACTGTACATGTCCATTTTATGTAGGGGGAACATATTATTTCAGGTGGCTGAAAGAGCTAAAATATTTTGTTCCCCCATCCTAACTTTGTCAAAAAAGAGCAAATGTTATGAAAATCACAGGATTTGTTGTTGATGATGAGTGGAATCAACACAGTAAAAGACTTTGAAGGTAAATTAATTTGTTTCCATTTTATAG